AGCCCCAAGACTGGCACACAAAAAGAATAAGAAGAAAGTGAAGAAAAGGGCTCAGATATAGCAAGAATTAAGTTGTTGGGATCTTAGACTATTTACCGAGGAAGAATTTACTATAAACTGGCTTATCAGAAACATTAACATTCTCCACCTGTTAAAAGAAAATAGAAGAATACTTTGAAAAAAACATTTGTCAATATCTTTTTATTTGTTAATGTCATGTTTTGTATGTGTGGGTTTGTGCTGATACTGGGACTTAAATACAGGACCTGAACACTGCCTCTTAGTTTTTTCTCTCATGGCTGGCACTCTACCACATAGGCCACAACTCTACTTCCAGTTTTTTAGTAGTTAATTGGAGATAAGAGTCTCATAGACTTTCCTGTCTATGCTGGCTAATGGCAATCCTCAGATCTCAGCCTCATGAGTAGCTAAGATTATAGGCATAAGACAGGAGTGCCAGCTGAAAAAATACTTTATTTTTAGGTAAATATACATTTCAAGATTAAATTATTTTACAAATGTTTTAGAGGTAGGTGCCTGAGGAGAGGGGTGTGAGGGAAACTTTTACCATACAATCTTAGGTGTTTTCTAAATTTTGAGCCATATAAATATTACATACACAAAAATATAAATACAATTTTATATGAAAGTAAAATACCCCTATTTGGAAAGAAAATTAAAATGTCCTACATAATAAAGAATGGTTAAGGAGGAACCATACTTGCTGTGACTGGGGGTCAAGAGGAAGTTAGTTAATAAATCATACTCCCTTGATCTCAAACTACTTGTTAATCCAAATTAATAGATGTTTTGTTTTCCTTTAAATTCTGGGGTTGGAGCATGGTAATCTACCTCCTGGCTCTCCCAGCTTTCCCCAAAACAGATCTTCTCTAGCAAGACTTTTTCTCCCACTTTTCAAATCCTATTAACACTAATCAGCATAATGATTAGGCATATTGTGGTTAAGTACTCTCCTTGATAAGGGTTCCTTTGGAAGAAAGGTTCCCATAGCGACAGGTAAAAGCTATCACCAAAGTCAGCTTTTCAGTATAGGAGTTGGTGTCACAGATCCTAGAGTTAAGAATGCTTCTGTATGAATATGGAGGCTTCCTTTTTGAACTTCACCTGACTTTGTCCATTCAAAAAGACCCTTAAGGGAGAATCCCCCTATAAACCACCATAGAAGGGGGGAGGTAGTTTGTGCAGGGGAACAGAGAAAAGACAAAAAGACCTCAAAGACAAGTTATTGTTCTTGCCACCAAAATTACACTCTGCAGAGGAAAACAGTCACTACAAAAACTAATGGCATTAAGATGGCAGTTGAGTCCCCTAACCACTCCTGTCCTCACTGCTGGAGCTGGTCAGTTTCTAATCTAGTTTCACTTTCTTCAAGCTGTAGAACAGCTGGCTTTCCAGCTGGCTGGGGGTGGGGGGAGGGTGGGATAGGGGTGGGAGGGGGAGTCTTTAAATAAACAGCACTTTAAAATATGCAATCACTTTGGCTGTATTGAATTTTGTAAACTGCCTTCCTCTAATATGTGACTCTGGGTGCCAACTTAAAACTACCCTAAAGAATGTAAAGTCCCTAAGGAATATACCTTTGTCTATGTGTAACAACCCCAAGCACACTAAACATTGGAAAAGAAGAAATCTTTTTCTTCTTTCTTTCTTTCTAATGCTAGCCACTGCATTTATTCAATAAGGAATGGTCTTAAAAACATGTATATAAGAAAACAACAAGACAGAGTATAGTTACCAAAAATATGTAAAATGCAGCACAAGACACTCCTGTAACATGGCACAGAGTGCTAATCCCTGAAAGGTCTTCTAACTCATTTTCCTCATCTTTCCACAGGAGACATATGTGTGTAATCAAATAATTTTACTCAACTCTTTACATGATACACATTAAATCTTTAAAGTGCCCCTCTAACAGACACTGCTATGCCAGCAAAGCCACTATCTGTCAGTTAAAATAAGCTGTTTATGAAGGTATGCATAGAAGCCCTGCATTCATAGTCTCCAGGCGTGTGCCAATTATAAAATACAATATAACCCTCCAAATAGTACCTCATCTCCAAGTCCTCCCAGCTCCAACACACTTGGAGATGACCTCCCTAGGAGCCACACCTCTAGAGCCCAGATATACTCAGAGCTCAAAGTGGCTAAACAAAGTAACAATTCAACCTGAGTTGCTCAATAGCACACACCACAATGACAGTTTCCAAGTGCCAGTTTCCCTATTTTGCAATGGACAGATCTGCTCCAAGGAGAAAATGTTCCCAATGACCCTGTGGCCCAGAGGGTTTTCTGAAGAACAGAAAACAGAAAATGAATTTGTTAGCTATTTCCTGCTGAGCACAAGGAAGGTGTTGTGGTTAGTTAGGATGACTTTGTTTCCTTAGTGAATATACCATTATCATACATGTTTTCTTTAACCACACAGTAGAAAAGAAGACAATGCAGTTTATTTTCTTTTGTCACATTATCACTAATTCCACAAGTCTTTTCTCATGAAAATACATTTAATTTCTAATCCCCTTATATAAAGCTCCCCCAAACTGACACTGATCTAAAGCAAAACCCTTGATATTCTAACATATTTACTGCCATACACATTCCTGCTCCTGGATAACTTATGATGTGTGAGGGCCTTCCCCATTCCCCATGATTACAGTCCTAAATTTATCTTTCTGAGAACTGTACTACACATAAATAATATGATTTGACTGTAACCTAAAAGCTGGCTACATTTCTGACCCTCAAGTCTTTCATGATCTCAGCATTCAACTGTTAAATTATTAAATGCTCGCTAAAACAAACAAGGACAATTTATAGGGCATATGGGGTAGGGAAAAAGAGAAAGGAGGAAGAGAGGAACAAGGGGTAGAAAAGCCCATTACTCTATAGGATTATCTGACAATGACTATCAGCTCTTCTGAGGCCCACATTTTAGGGATCCTGTGGAGATGTATGCTGTGCATATTCAGGAGAAATTCACCAACAACCAAAACAGAAGCTGTCCTTGGACAAGGTTCAATAAATGTTTTTACTATCTATTTCCCGCTGCACAATACAGTTCCCCACTCCCCCAAGGGATCGTAGATAGAATACTTAATAGAATAAAAAAAAATCAAATTCTTAACTGGTCTTAACTTGTCATCATAAAACATTTTAGAGCATAAAAACCAACATTAAGGAATAGTGAAAAATATTCCTTAGGATAATGTCAGAACCCAAAACTGCTGTTATCCTTAAAGGTTTTTTCTCTCTCTCTCTTTCCTGTCAAGATTCTTCTCATTAAAGTGATCACATATTAACATAGTGCCTAGATAGAACTCTCACAACTAAACTCTTAAAAATTTGCCTCTTGAAGGAGTGGGAGAGGAAAACTCCCAAACTCAAAGGCATTGATCTACAAAGATGAGAGATTCAAAACTTCCAATATATATATATTACAGCTTTGTAGATGTAATACTCAAGTCCACTAACACTACCCAGAATCAGCTGGTAAACTGGTAACCATACCAACTTCTATGAGAGTCCAGGACAATCAGTACAATTCGTAATTACACAGTTGAGATCCACACCAAATACCACAGATCCAGCCTCAAGTAGACAAAATGAAGCCCAATATAAGCACAGGATAGGCTAACACATAATACTCCAGTGAGGAGACAATTCAGCTAAACATCTCTTACTGAGAAGTGGATTTGGGGACAAGAAGGAAAAGGCTTGAACTGTGATGTGATGAAGATTGGTTTCTGACATGGGAGACCTCCATTCTTGGCTGGACAGATGGATAGACTTTTGCTGTTTTATTTCTCTTCACCTGCATTCCTGTGCAGCACCCAACATAATGAAGATAGATGCAGGGATACATCCTGCCAGGAAAATGTCAGAGCTGAACTCAGAATATTCAGCACAACTGACTTCCCCTTCTTCTTCTTCCTCTTCTTTCTCCTGCTCTTCTTCTCCTTCCTCCTCCTACTCCACCACCACCACTTCTTCTTCTTCTTCTTCTTCTTCTTCTTCTTCTTCTTCTTCTTCTTCTTCTTCTTCTTCTTCTTCTTCTTCTTCTTCTTCTTCTTCTTCCTCCTCCTACTCCACCACCACCACTTCTTCTTCTTCTTCTTCTTCTTCTCTTCTTCTTCTTCTTCTTCTTCTTCTTCTTCTTCTTCTTCTTCTTCTTCTTCTTCTTCTTCTTCGTTCATCATCATCATCATCATCATCATCATCACCCAAAGACCAAGTAAGATCCTCCAGAACCTGCTAAAAGAGGTGTCCGTTCTCTTGTCCTAGAGGTTAAGAGGAAGCTGTGCTACCCGCATCGCAAAGACAGGCAATCACGACCCGAGAGGGGGGAAAGAAAAATCCGGAGCCACATGGAGGGCGAAAAAACAGTAGCAGAAAAAAGTCCAACTCTGCCTGCGCCAGCGGTGTGTATGAGCAGAGCAGCGAGCCCGAGAGGAGGGAGGGGGCGGGGGCGATCATTCCCTAGGAGAACTTGTAAGCGGAGGCCTTCACGGCCTGGGAAGCAGCCCAGCCGCTCCCGCAGACCCTGCCAGCCTGGGCCGGGCAGGCCCTGGGGAGCGGAGCGGCCAGGCCTCCGAGGGTCACTCCTGACTCACCGAGCCTCGGGGCTGGCACCGCCGGACCTCTCCGTTTTTGTTTTTTGTGGGTTTTTTTTTTCTTCTGCTACTGGGCTATGATGGCAGCTGTCCAATCCCACATGCCATACATCAGCCGCAGATCCCTGCTGGCACACAGGCCGGCGCCTTCCCCCGCCCCTGGCACACTTTGAGCCTCATTCTACTGCTCCCCATCCCCAACCCTCACCCACCCGTGCCAGGCACCCTGCCCAGGGGCAGCTCCCCTCCCCACCACCACAGTGGCCGGACGCTGCCAGGGCCTGGGCACCTGCAGCACCTCTCCGCCCCACCCCCATTCCCCACCACCTCCCCTCCCCCCTCCGCCGGCAGAGGGAGGGGGCAACTCACCGCAGTCAGTGCACAGGATCTTGCCCACCTCTTTCTTGATGTTTTTGCCGTTGGTGCCAAGGGGGGCAAAGGCCGTCTTAAAGACCAAGGGCTGCTCGGTGGGCTCCAGGAAAAAGATGTAGCGCTGGTTCCTCTCGAGCGGCGCGCAGGAGCCCACGCTGATCACCTGCTCGCGCTGCAGCCCCCCGCTCCGGAGCGGCCACTTGTCCAGCACCTTCACCAGCGCCACCCGACCCGAGGCGGGCGGCTCACGGGTGCTGTTGGAGCCGGAACCGCCGGCCGGGGCCAGTCCCTGGACCTTGCCCTCCACCACCACGGGTGCCTTGTACGCCTGGTCCTGCACGGACTTGAGGCTGGGCGAGTAGCAGGCGAGCGACACCCCGAAGAGCAGCATGGAGAAGCCGGGGGCCGGGTCGCGCCTCATGCCGCCGGCGGCTGCGGCTCGCGAGCGGGCGGCGGCTTTCCGGGCTGCGGGGAAGCGGGGCTGCGGCGGTGGCTGCGGCCGCGGCTCTGGGGGCGCAGCGGGACGGGAGATGCTGCTGCTGCTGCTGCTGCTGCTCCTGCTGCTGCTGCTCTCGCTGCTGCTGCTGCTGCTGCTGTCGCTGTCGCTGCTGCACCGAGCCTTCTCCAGTGGCGGCGGCGGCGGCAGCGCTGAGCAGCAAACCTGCCGCATCTGGCCAGGCCATTTGGGGGGCTCCGCCGCTCAGCCGCCGCCGCCTTGGGAGGGGAAACAGAGCCCTCTGGAAAACCGGAAACAGCGTAACGTTAGCGCCTTCGAGTCCTCCGCCGGCGGTCCGGGGAGGTGGCCCTGCGAGGGCAGGGGACCGGCGGCAAGTGGGCCGCGATGCGCAGCGCGGCGCAGCGCAGCGCTCCCTCCCTGCGCGCCCGGGCTCGGAGGAGGCTGCGGAGGATGGGACGCCCGCCCACTTGCTCTCTCGCGCCCCCTCTGCCCCCCGGACCGAGTGGGGAGCGTGGCTTCTGCAGGGGAAGCTTGGGACTGCACTGCTTTAGTGCCCGCCTTCAGCCCGCAGGGGCGCGGGAGGAATCGTGGCACCCTCGGCTCTTGGGATTTCTGGGCAGCATGACAGTGGGGGGCCGAGCGGGAGGAGAGGGTGGCGGGGAGCGAGCGGCTCCTCGCCGCATCCCGGGATCGTGGGAGTGGGACACAGGGCGTGCCCCTTGCCGGGGGTCATCAGCTGTGGTACCAGGGAGGGTGCCAGAGCCGGGATGACGCTCCAGCTTCTCGACCCCTTTCCCAAGAAGGACCCTAGAAGCGCTCTCTCTCTCCCACCCTTCTCCCCCCACCCCCATCCCTCCCGACCATGAGCCCCCTGTACCCCGCCTGACAATCTCTGGATGTTTGAGATGGGGTGGGGGAGGATTACAGCCCTGTTGTTTTGTAAAGGGTTGGGGTTACAAGGAGCTTTGCCTCAACGTTGAGAACACTTAAAAATCAACCAGAGGTGGTGGATTGGGACAGGTTCCAGTCCCCCCAAAACTCCCGGCTCTTTCCCCAAGCATCATGCTACCCAACCCCATTTTCTTTTTAAAAATCAGTTCTCACCGGAACCAGTGGAGAGACAGAGACTGTCAGAGCCAGAGACGGCTTCATAGATATGGTCTGGTGTCTGCCAGAAGCAGAAGAGTTTGCTCCACTGAAGCCAATGCCGGATTGAATACATAAATGACAGACAGACAGACAGACAGACAGACAGACAGACAGACAGACAGACAGACAGACAGACAGACAGACAGATAGATAGATAGATAGATAGATAGATAGATAGATAGATAGATAGATAGATAGATAGATAGAGTTAGTAGCATTTTAATCTTTGAATGGTGTCAAGCTCATGGATGGTAGCAAGATTTTTGAGGATTTTGTTGCTGGATGGGCCCTACAAGAAACTGGCCCAAGGATCATCAGATTAAAGAGTGATACTTGGGAAAGGAAAGGAAAGACCTAGAAAGACACCTCAAAATATATATCCTAAGCTAAAGTATTATTTCTCTCCCTGAATTCTGGATTCCCTATCTTTACTAATGGCACCATTTTATACTTGGCCAATTCTTCCCAGCATTCTTCCCCCCAAATCCCTTAGTCTCATCTCTTATATTCCCCTCACCCAGTCAATTATCCAGTCCTTTGACACTTCTTTTCAAAATCTTTATCTACTTCCTCTTCAACTCTGCTACACATATCCACATATTTTGCCCCCTTATCCAGTTCTACTACTGCCAATGTGTGATCTTTCTAAAAAAATAAAGTAAGTAAAATGATGTGGCTCAGCATTGCTGTAAGGATTAAAGTCCAAACTCTTTATCAGGGCTCTGCCTAGGCTCCTTTTGATTAGTTAGTCTCCTATTCTGAGAGCCAGTCTCTTCTAGCAATACTCAGCACATTCTGCTGTTACTCTATGTGCTTCTGTACATGGTGTCTGGAGTCCAGGAAGCATCATTTCTACCTTCACATGGAAAACTACTCCTTTGCTATGCCCAGCTCAGAATTATACCTCATCTCTTGCCCCTTCATGCATATTCACCACTACTCCCATCACAATGCACATACATGATGGGATTCATGTCTTCCTCCTCTGTGTTACCAGGGGTCTTGAATATCTTACTATTATGGCATTGACTCAAGCAACTGTTAATGGAACTCCATCTCCCATTTATTAAAGTCAAGGACTACTTTCTATGTCTTTAGATCATGATTACGTGTAATACCATGCTGGCATCAAATAAAAGCAGCAGATCTTCAGAGAAGGGAAGAGATGAAGAAGACATTAACTGATAGCAATCTTAAAGATACCAAGCCAACTTTGATGGTCCCTTCATGACTCTTTTCATTTTCATAGATCTCCTAAATCACTAAATATAGCTATAGAAAAAGATGGATAACTTGTACTCTCTTTTTTTCCATTAAAAAAAATGTCCCAGGGAGGAAAGGAGACTTGTGGTCACAGGCAGCCAAGAATGTACTCTGTCTTCTGTTTCTGAGGCCAGATAAATAAGGAACATTATTATTTCTTCACCTTTTGAGTCAAACAGAGATAGGTTTTTCAATGATTTGCAACTTGTTGACTTTAGAATATGTCTATCTCTTGAGGCTTTAGTTTTCTCATCAGAAAAATGGAGAATAGTATCTACCTCAGACAGATGAAGTTTGCTCATGATGGACTTATTCACTAAGTAACTCAACTCCTGGCTTATCCAGGCCGAAACACCTATACTTGTCACTGGGTGACACTATCACTGTTCTCAAAGCTCCTACTCTGGTTAGGGAGTCCACAGTAAACAAGTAGACAAATAGGTAACTAAGTGCTTCCAGTGATGAGCATTCTGAAGGAAATGATTCAGGATGAAACGATAGAGAATAATGGAAAGGGAGAAGGGAGGATAAAGAGAGGCTTCTCTGGGAGATAACATTTAAAGTGAGACTGGAAGGATGAGAAAGACGTGACTGATAGGAGATAATATGTATAATGCACTTAGAACAATGCCTGGCACAGAGCAAATACTAAAATCTGATGTTGACTCTGATTGATAGTTGATTTATACCATAGGTTTCCAACCAAAGGGTTGAGAATCTTGACATAGTATGTAGTTATTGCACACTAGATTTTTCTATATATTAAAAATGCAGGGTTCTTAATATAGTTATTCAATTAGTGGTAGAGTACTTTACCTAACATGCACAAGGCCCTGGGTTTGATTCCCAGCACCAAAAAGAAGAAAGAGGAGGAGGAAGAGGAGGAGAAGGAGAAGAAGAAAGGAAAGAAAAGAAATAAGATTTCTAATGTTGATGCCATGGTAAATAAAAATATTCATTCTCAGGGCTGGGACTGTGGCTTAGTGATAGAGTGCTTGCCTAGCATGCATGAAGCCCTGGGTTTGATTCTTCAGTCCCACATAAACAGAAAAAGCCAGAAGTGGTGCTGTGGCTCAAGGGGTAGGGTTCTAGCCTTGAGCAAAAGAAGCTCAGGGACAGTGCCCAGGCCCTGAGTTCAAGCCCAGGATTAGCAAGTATATATATATATCCTGGGTAATTTAACCTCAGGTATGGCAACCTTCTTCTAAAGAAAAAAGAAAAACTTCTTTGTGTGTGTGTGTGTGTGTGTGTGTGTGTGTGTGTGTCACACAAGCACGTGTCACTTCTAAGACTTGAACTCAGAGCCTGGACACTCAAAGCTGGTGCTCTATCACTTGAGCCACACCTCTGTTTCCAAATTTCTGCTGGTTAATTGGAGATGAGTCTCATGGGCTTTCCTGCCCTGGCTGGCTTCAAACCATGATCCCCAGATTTCAACCTCCTGAGTTAGGATCACCAGTGCCAGGCTCAAAAACCTCTTTTTTTTTTTAAGCACATTTTTTTAAAAAAGTACAAGATGTTAAGTTTAAAAATAAGGGAGAGGAGAGGATGTTTTACCAGACAGGCTACCAGTTCTCTCTTGTTAAAAAAAAAAAAAGATAAATACGTAAACGTTTGTAGTACATAAATTACCTTTGCAAGAACAAAGCAGAAATTGAGACACTACTTGGCTCTGGGGAAGTGAGTGTGAGACTGAGGGATGAGGAAGGATACTTTCATTTTATTCCCTGTTGTCTCTTGTGAATTTTGTCTCAAGCTTATTGTGCCAGCTATTTAAAAAATAAAGAGGATGCTTACATTTTTTACTATGTTGAATTTTTATTATGCTTCTCCCCACCCCCTTATTGAAAGACTACTTAAACCAGAGCAACTATTTTACAAGATTTCTTGAAATTTTTTAACTTTAAAATGAGATTATATAGTAAGGCACTGGTGACTCATGCCTATAATTCTAACTGCTCACTAGGCTGAGATCTGAGAATCTCTGTTTGGTGCCAACCAGGGTCAGGCAAATCCATGAGACTGTTCATCTCCCATTAGCCACCAAAAAGCTAGAAGTAAAGCTGTATCTCAAATGATAGAGCAGCACCAACCTTGAGTAAAAAAGCTATGGCCAGGCCCTAAGTTCTGGCACAGTACTGGTACACATACACGGGCGTACACACACACACACACACACACACACACACACACACACACACAGATCCTTCTGCTAAACAGTACTAGAATTATTTTTCTATAAAAATGTTCTATAAAATGTTCAGGATGTCTTAGAATGAAAAGGAATGCTCTTAGATTTCAATAGTCTGATAGAACATCACTAGAATTCTTGTAACCACAGAAGGTGGAAACATAAGCAGATATCTAAAGGAAATGACAGCACCTATCTGATTTTCCTCAAAGTGATATATATATATATATATATATATATCCATATATATATATATATATGGATAAGCTTCCAGAATTAGCTTTTGCCATTTAGTGTATAAGGAGAGGGCATTTAGTATCTAAGAGCAGCCCAATTCCATACTGGCCTCTTCCTGGAGTTCAACATGAATTAGTAGCATGTCTTAGGGAATATGACCTCATGCTCTGAGTCTTCTAACTTTACATCATACTTCAATAATTGATAATAAAAATGGTAACAGCCACCATTTATTAGTTGTGTATTCTGTGTTGGGAGTTCCATGATTATTGTTTCTATCCTTCAACAATGTTGCATCTTATAAAATAAAAAGACTATTGGGTACCAGTGCCTCATGCCTATAATCCTAGCCATTCAGGAGGTTAAGATCTGA